GGATATTGTTGTCAGGAAACCACTGCGCATTATCCGTACGCTGGACTCCAGTGCACTTGAACTCTCTCATGCTATGGTAGGTGGACAGTGGTATTGAATTGCTGGCTACAACTGCTAATATTCGTGCAGTCCGTGGAGAACATTTGGCCCAACAAAATCGAGTATTCAATCAGCACTCCAACCAAGGCCGTTATTTTCGGGACCAGCATACGCGTGGACTTCAAACTGATTCCCCTCCTCAAAGGACTCAAGATTGGACAGATCGTCTCGCAGCTAATCGAAAGTCATGACCTTACACTTAATCCTGAAGACCCCGACTCTGTCCGGAACACATACAAAAACACAAGGACGATTGTCAACGATGAACATGAGTTGGATGAGGAAAACAATCTCGAGATCATTGACGAGGCAGCAGAGGGATACCAATTTTCTCGCTTCCTTGACCTACCAAAGACGTTAACACGCTGTCTGCAAGATACCGACACACGAGGTATCAAAATCAGACACAAATTGAAGTTCCGTGTTCAATTACTGAATCCAGACGGTCACATTAGCGAGGTATGTAATCCACCTCCCAGGAATCTGTATAAAGGGATGCTAACCTTCACAGCTACGGGCTACCCTCCCCGTTTCCATCTTCATCTCGCCAAACCTGGCAATCGACGACAACAACAACCTCGTCGACCAGACACCACAGTCCGCTCAACGGGCAGTCAACGACCTCGCACAACAAGCACCCCCCTTGTACGGCGAGCATCAGTTCGATCAATTATATAGCGAGGTCGACCCTAGCGGCTACCGGACACCGGGCCCGGGCAGCGGACCGGGGACTCCGTTTGGTACTCTTAGCCGGAATTTGTCTGCTGAGAATCTTGCATCGATGAATGCCTTGACCAACACCGATATCTCTGCTTCTGCCTTGCATAGTCGACTGTCCAACTTGCATGCTAGCAGGTTCAGCAACCCATCGCCGGCTGATACTGACGGCCATACCGATGTCGAACACCGTCGTCTAGGAGTCTCCGCCGACTACTTTGGCCCCTCTTCTGGTTCCAATTCGCATAGTCCCGCGAGTCCCGAACTTTCCCGCAGACCTTCGGACGAGGGCTACCACGACCATGACCACATTCCGTCTGGAATGGCCACACCGTTTCACCCACAGTTCGCTGAAGTTGAAAGCCTCAGTCGCGTCCCAAGCTATTCGACTGCGGTCAGATCTACTGTGGGACCATGCGACAGTGAACTGCCAGATTATCAGGCTGTTGTTGCCGAGGATACCGCCATGCCTACCCTCCAGTCCCCTCAACAAGCCCACATTCGGAGCGCCGGCCGTGGAGCCTCGACGGGACACACCGGCATCGATGTACATCACTTGCGTTCCGGCCTCTTCAACTCTCGGACGTCAGCTCATCATGACGACGACGATCGCAGACTGCGTCTTGTTCAAGCTCGCGCTCGGGTTTAAACCACAACTAATGACAGATCAATCTCCTTCATCCTTGAAGATAATCTCCCATCACGACACATCGGTACATAAGTCGCAAAAAAAATGAAACGACTCACTTTAGATGACTAATCATCTCTATGAGTTATGAGGATAATGTTGGCGCTGGACGCCGAAAAAGCATGGCATATGACATATTTGATTTTACTTATCGGGGAACAGGCACCTCCATGATTTTTTTCGTGCATTATCATGTACGCATTTCGCACCATGTCATCTTTCTTATCACATATTTTAGACCTGGGTGGAGTTTTCTCTTTCGATTTACGAGGCGTTGTCTGGTCAAAGGTATCATAGAAGGATTCGGGTATCAACCAAGGACTGGACCTATGGTTTATTTCAGTAATGAAGATCTTATGAAGGAGCTGGTTGCACATAGTCAGCATGAATCATGTACATCATTTATACTGTGTACACCTTGTTAATACCGGTTGGCATTTACATGCCAAGGGTCATAGCACTTCTTGACCAGATCTCCACTATAAGAATTCGAAGTTTCTGAGCAACAGGTATGCTCCAAACTATACACTACCCAAACGTGGGACTTACGAGCCACAGACTCATACTCAAACGTACCTTGGAGATCGGCAGAAGAAACAGTTGATTGGATCAATGACTCAAGTGGCTCAGGTATTTTCCGAATCAGGTACGAATTGTGGCCGTGCTCTGCGCGACAAATGTCTGAGCTTTACCGCTTTCGGGTTGTACCAAGGCATCGATGGAGAATGGGGAATTCCTATGAGCCGATGCCACAGGCGATGTGAGTGTCGGTATTACTTTGCTATTTATGTGAATTTCGACGGCCGTCTAATTGCGGCGTGCGATTGAGTTGTGTACAGATAGGGGTACTCTACTACGTCAGTCGCGTTGTCGATATACTACTCCGTAATTGTGTAGTGATTGGTAGGCAAGAAGAGCTTCAAGATCAGGCGAATGGCTCGGTTCCCAGATAGAAAAAGCTTAATGAACCCATGTGAACGAGTTCTGCAGTCAGACAGACTAAAACTAGGGTTTTGTCTGAGATCTCAAAAAGTTCGCTTGAATTGAGGTTGGCAGATGGCCAACTGAGGGGTTGCACAACGCAAATCAAGAAACTAGTGACCTCATCGCTCTCAATCCGGTGAAAGCTCCCTTTAAATGCTGGCATTCCCAACTACCCTTTCCCTATCTATCAACCAAGCCAATACTTATATATAGCCTTCTTTCGCTTATACTCTCCGGCAGACGAGAAAAATTTCGATCTTTCCATTTTGTACTTGGTATGTGTCCATCAAGCGATTTGGTCTAGCTGTCTAGCATCTGGCTATTGACCGCTCCGACCCACTCCCTCCGCTTTGATGATTGACCCCTCCAACTAACTATTGATAGTTGCGTATTCGCATTCACAGTAGACTACGGGGCAGTAGCGTACTACGGCAATAGCTGGGCCTAGTGCAAGCCAGCGCTTCGGCCTTCACAATCTCCCGCAATTGCATCTTTTCTTCTTCTCTTGTATTGCGGAATCAAGTCAATCGACTTCTGTTTGTTTTATTCTACTTCAAATTAGCGCTTTTTATTCAATCAGGATGTCGGCCGCAACCAGTCCCGTGGAGCAGAGACTCCCTCACCGTTCGTCGACGATGCGGAGCTCCATCGGTCCGGACCGTCGGGCGTCACTGAGCGATGACGAGGCCGTCCCGGGTTCAGATACCAACGAGGTATGTCTACGGTCTGCTGCTGCCGGGAAAATACTGACTATGCTGTCCTGAGCAGACTACGGGCCTTCTCCTTGAGCGTCTCCGTGCTTGGAAACACATGTGCGGTTATTTGGAGGATTATGTGGAAGTCACAGCCAAAGTGCAGAAGTCGCAAGCGAAGGATTATGAGAAAGTTTTGAAGGTATGGATGGTCTTTTGTCCAAGATGGTATCGAAAGGGTGCTGATACTGCCGGGGTAGACTGTCAGCGATCCCCTTCGGGAGGGGCACCATTTCTCTCAGAGTGCGGGCGGAGTTTCGGCATGGTTTGAAAATATTCGGAGCAATACTCAGGTATTGGTTCCTGACACATGTTCCTGGGTTTCACAGCTACTGATGGATTACGTAGGGAATCGTGAATGGGTACCTTGACACGGAAAAGAACTTGAAAGGATCCGTGCTGCCGACCCTTCAGCGTCTCCATAAGGAGATCAAGAACAAGTCCAAGGAGCTGCAGAGCGGCGCAAGTAAGAGCGCCAAGGCCGTTGAAAAAGCACGAGGCGTGACGCAGAAACATATCGAGCTTCTGGCTCAACAGGTTGCGGCGTTTGACTCAACTGCGGGCAACAAATTCGATCATGCCCACGACCCATACATCTTGCGCCGCGGAGTCAATCACCGCCTGAACAAGCAAGTCACCGAGGAGAACAACAACCGTCAGGACATCATTGCCGTGCAAAACAACTTTCAGCAGTTCGAGGCGCATGTTCTGCAAACCATCCAGGCCGCCATCGAGCAGTTCAACGTGTTCGTGGGCGGCCAACTCGACCGGCAGCGGAGCATGTACAACGACATGTTGGGCGCTGCTCAGCGCATTCCTCCAGACTATGAATGGGTTAATTTCATCACACGCAACGCCAACGTGTTGGTGGACCCCGACTCACCGCCGCGATCGCTGTCGAACATCTCCTTCCCGAACCAGGATCACCGCGCCACCGTCCCGCTCATCGAGGGCAGTCTGGAGCGCAAGTCCCGGGCAATGCTGAAAGGTTACAGTACGAGCTACTACGTGGTCACGCCCGCGCGATACCTGCATGAGTTCAAGGACAATGACGACTTCCGCCACGATCCGTCTCCCGAGCTGTCCCTTTACCTACCCGACTGCGTGGTTGGCGGCGTCGACGGTAACAAATTCACCATCAAAGGTAAGGATGTTTCCGGCGGCAAGGTCGGCAATGCCTTCCACACTACCAGCGAGTTCAACTTCAAAGCGCATACCCCGAGTGACGCGGAGAAATGGTGGAACGTCATCCGCGACGCAGCCAAGAGTGGCCCCGCACACTCGCCAGTGTCTCCCACCAGCCCTGTAGCAGCCGGGGGGGCTGCTGCTGCTGCTACCACCGAGAGTGGTGCTGCTGCTTCGGCCCCGCCTCCTACTACTGCTACTGCCGATGCTGCCGCAGTCGAGGCACACCCTCCGGCCTACAAGGAGCAGGAAAGCTTTGCGCCAGCCGCGCAGGAGAAGACCACTGCCGGTGAGGCGGCCACTCCCACCACTCCAGCAGCCGAGACTGGGCTCAACCGCTCGACAAGCTCTGCGACGGGCCACTACCACATGGGACCAGGTGGATCAGCCGTTGCGCCTGACGCCCCTGCTTCCGGTATCGAGAAGTCGTGAACATGCCATGCTGTAGCTTCTGATTTACTTTTTTCGTCTATCGTATAGTATAATATCGATCATGTCTATAGGATGACAATGTACTTAATCAGTATACCTCGAGATGCCGTACCATGTATGCAGTGTATCCAGTGAGATCACCATCATGGATCAGTAGCCCGGGTATCTTGCAATTCCTCCTCACTCGCAGTCTCCGACTTATTTCCTGCCTCCCAAACCAACACAACAATCGACTTCACCCCTCCCCCTCTATCTGGCGGCACAACCGCCCAATCCTCCAACTCATACTCCAACCGGAACCCATTCTTCTCAAACACCCGCATACTAGCCCTATTATCCGCATACGCCGACGCTTTGATCACTTGCGCATTCATCCGCGGAACCGCCCATTCCTCAATCACAGCTTTGATCACAGCCGTCATGATGCCTTTGCCGTGGTGTGTCGGCGAGAGATAATCTATGTCAGTCAGCATCTCGCCTTCATCTAAAACATACATATATGTATAGATATATGTATGATATATATGGCCAAGGAAGGGGAGAACGGGAAGGAATCTTACCACCAAACCCCCAAACAATCTCCGGACTACCAATCCCCAACGCTTCATTCCTGCGCACGGCCTCCTCGCGCTCCGCGGTGCCCTTTTTGAATTCGTAGAAGGCGTACCGGACTAGTCCTACGTTGCCGATGTAGACGTCGCTGTTACTGTCGTTGGTGACCTCCCGGATGCAGGTGAATGGCAGCCCGTCGACGAAGCGGTTGGTTTGCGCTGCGTGTAGGAGGGCGGTGGATTGTTCGTGCGAGGTCTGCAGCCATGCGGTGGCGTGTTCGGGGAGGTATGGGACCGGGGTGGATTCGAGGTACGGGTAGATCTGGGGGTTGTTGAGGAGGGAGAGGAGGGCGGAGGAGTCGTGGGCGTTCGGGGCCCGCGCTGGGGTGATGATGATGGATGAATGGGGGGCGGGGAGGGGAATGTAGGGTTCGTTTGTTATGGGGTTGATTAGGATGGGCATGATGACTGGAAAATCAGGCCTCTGATTGATGTGAGTGTACTTTGGGTATACGGAGTACATGTGGCTATATATGCTCTGGTGTGAGTCATGGTATAGGATACTACATAGCGGCTTGGCTGTGGATATTGACTCAGATAAAGAAACAATGATACTATAAACAAATCCAAGAACGAAGTCTTCGACCTCGTATTGGCGCTGGAGTTGAGGTTAGCCTCCCCGGCGGACCCATCCATATTTCTTGGCTGTGGATATTCCGACTCCAAGGTCTGCACAAAAGGACAAAGCGCAAGATGGAAAACTGATGCTTCATGTGTACACAGTGCTGCGGCTGCAGGAAACAAAAATGGGAATCGGGTTCTCAAATGCGACCAAGATGGATATCTCTCACAAATGACCGGAACGCTCAGAAATGAATATGGAACAGATGAAATCGTACAGACTCATGATAGGAATAAAGAGAGAAAACTAAAAATCGTCAGGACTCTCAAGGTCCGCCAACTTCTGACTGAGAAACCTTCCCAGCGCGGCAGCCTTTGACTCGAGCGCCAAGAGCGTCGAGGGCGATGCAGACAGATTCAAGCTGGCTAGACGAGCGAGATTGCTGCTCCGGTCGATCTCGTACTGCGTCTCTAGCTCTGCGTCTGCCTGTACGTCAGCTTTGCTCTCCTTGCGAGAGATGCTGGTCGGGGTAGAGGTCGTGGTGGATGGTGCTTGGCTGGTGTATGTACCGTTGGTGGTGGGCCGGTGTGCATTCGACTCCGTTGCCGACGTCGCCTCTGTCCCCGATTTCGCAAAGCCGTTTTGGTGAACTTGCCTTCCGTCAGCAGAACCGGCCTCGTCGGTGTCAGATTTCGACGGCCCCACAGCGGCCAGCAGGACTTTGTCCGCTATCCTGGTCACAACGGCCACCGAGTCGTCAAGCTCAAAGACAATCGAGCCTACGTCGCCTAGCGACACCGATTGTGCCGTGACATATGACGACGGGTGACTGGCTGGGTTCACGCCTGTAAGATTCCCGCTCGAGGCGTTCTTTGCGTAGCAAGTATAGGCAGCTCCGTATGTCGCGCTCAAGTTGCGCAACTGCCGAGACGAAAGTGACGAAGCATAGGCGAAGATGGCGCCGTTTGTGGCAAACACCCTATGAGTCGTAAATGTCAGCATTGTTACACCGGTAATCAGGGAATGACATCAGCATACATGATCGTAGTGATCTCAGGAGGTGAGAGGTTGTCCTCCAGCAAATCGCTGAGGGCCTCTGCATCGAGCATTCGAATGTCCGGAAGTCCCGGAATCATTGTGTCGTCGTAGTCGTGCTCAGAGTCAGTTCCGTCGGCAATCTCGTCTTCGGACCTGTCGTCTTCAATAACCCAGTTCGGAGGCGGAGACCAGGAACAGTCCTCGGGAAAAAAGAAGCAGTTGTCCGAGTAGTCTTCGTCGTCGTGATCGTACTCAATAGGTTCGTCTGAGCACTCAAGGAGATTCTGCGCGTGCTGAACGTGGCTTTGTGCCCAAGGTGGCAGATGTGGAACCTCGAAGACTCCGGCAGCTTTCCGATTCAAATGAGCAGAGCGAACTGGATATTTAAATTCAGCCATCTTTCCTCTAACAGAGATGGATTCGAGATAGAGTGTATGGATGAGCAGGCCAGGGAACAGAAGAGTACAAGAATGAATGACACCAGTGGTGACAGTCACACAAGGCAGCAATACAGCACAGCGTCAGCGGAGAAGTATTGAGTCAAGGCGCTTCCTGTTCAAGAAGACCAGGAGACGATCTTCAGTAGCACAAGTAATCCAACGCAAGAGAACGCAAGAGGGGAAACGGTCCTTTTTGAATTCAACTTTCAAGGAAAAAGGAACCAGGAAGTTCTGATCTGGTGGCCTCATTCAAAGTCCAGAACAAACAGCCCGGAGCCATCACGGAGATAGAGCTCTCACGAGTCACGACGTCGCTGGAGGAAGGCGGGGATTGAAGGCTGTGGGGGAAATAAAAACGTAGGCAAGAATGTGAGATGCCATATTTATTTTTCTTTTTTTTTAATAGCCGCAGTAAGGCGCCAGAAATGAAGAGAGGCTCCGAAAAGGGGAAAGGGAAAATACCAACAGGAAAAAGAAAAGAAAGGCGGAAATAGCTCGGGGAATGGTTGGCTGAGCTGTTGGCGATGCTGAGCCTGAGCACGAGAGAGGCACAGAGGAGAGTGAGACAGAGAGAATGGTATAGGGATTCCACGGACCTTAGTAGATCTATGCAACGACCAGCGTCGACAAGTCAATAAATAGAAATTTTGATGATTTGAAGCTGCAGGATCGCAGATTATTATTAGTTGTCAAACAACAGTAAGCAGAAGAAGCAGAACGGATGAGTGATGAGAGAGGGTCGAGGCGCTGGGGGGGATTGATTTGATGATGGACAGCGGAGAGCGGAGAAGATCAGCCGATCTGATGCCAGGTTTATCAGGCAGAAATTGCCTCTGTCAACTGAACAGAACAGACCATATCCTCTAAAGATAGAGATTCGGCGTCAAAAGTGCTTACAGCGGATATATATTCACTTGATGGTTATAGGGCGAGTATCTTGTACGATTACCCAATGCTACGCTTGGTACCATTCTAGATCTTTATGTTCTGTGACGTATGCAGCAAAGAAGATGAGCATATCACCACGGAGTCTACACAAGAGCTTCAATGCCTCACTTGCATACCTTTCAGTCCCAGAAGAAGAAGACGTCGTATCTATTGATTGAAGAACCCCAATTGAAGCCGATTAGAAGAGCTAGGAGTATGATTACCGATCTGACTCCAATGTTGGAGTATCCCACCATAGCGTCATAGGTGACCCCACCTTTTATTTGCTCCTTTTTCTCCTCACGCCGCTCACTAATAATAAGAAGACGCTCACCACTTTACCCCTCCGCTGCTTTCTTTTGCTCCATGTTCGCTTGTCGCTTTCTTCCTGCGTCTCGTCCTTCTCTCAAGGTCCCCATTCCAAGAAACTTTATCCTATCAGGTATGCGTCTCTCATATTCCAGCGGTTCTCTACCCCACATAACAGCAATCATTTGCTAATGAGCCGTTGCAGGAACCTCTACTAGATTGTTGGCAACCATGGCGACAGAAACCTCCAAGTATAAGCTTAATCGTTAGTGCCTTCCCCTGTTATTGGACCTAGAGTGACAGAATATAAGTATTCGGAATCTAACGTAGCTTGCAGACACTATGATCCGGGTCAAGGACCCAAAGAGATCAGGTGGGTAGCCCGAAGAACTATGCAGTCATTGGCTTGGGCGCTGATTGCCTGCTTTATCTTTTCTCAGTGGAGTTCTACAAGTTCCTTGGGCTCAATCAGATCCAGCAGCTCGACTTTCCTGAGAACAAGTTCTCCCTCTACTTCCTCGCCTACAATGGCCCCCAGTCGCTGCAGGGCGACCGTCACTGGACGGACCGCAATGCGGTGCTGGAACTCACGCACAACTATGGCACGGAGAATGACCCCAATTACACTGTTGCCAATGGGAATACGGAGCCCCATCGCGGTTTCGGACACATTGCCATCTCGGTCGACAACGTCGAAGCGGCCTGCAAGAGACTCGAAGACGCTGGGTATCAATTCCAGAAAAAGCTCACCGAGGGTCGCATGAAGCACATTGCGTTCGCAAAGGATCCCGATGGATACTGGGTTGAGATCATCCGCCGCCACGATCAGGATGTGGGGACTGCGACAGATCCAGGCACCTACCGACTGAACCACACCATGTTACGGGTCAAGTCCGCTGAGACCAGTCTCAAGTTCTACCAGGAGGTTATGGGCATGACCCTTGTGCGCACTATCGAGAACAAGGATGCTGCCTTCAATCTCTACTTCCTGGGTTACCCTGCGTCCAACCCCACTGCGCAGGAGGGCGCGAAGAATCCTGTGGCTGAATGGGAGGGGCTGCTCGAGCTTACCTGGAACTACGGTACGGAGAAGCAAGAAGGCAAGGTTTACCATGATGGTAATTCGGAGCCTCAAGGGTTCGGTCATATTTGTAAGCCACCCCGTCAACTTTTGCAACGGTCGAACTACGCTGACATTGATGTGTCTGCAGGTGTCTCTGTTGACGATCTCAATGCTGCCTGCGATCGGTTCGAGTCGCTCAACGTGAACTGGAAGAAGCGTCTGACAGACGGGCGGATGAAGAATGTGGCTTTCATTCTTGACCCGGATGGCTATTGGATCGAGGTGATCCAAAACGAGGCGTTGAAGCGTACCAGCAATTGGTAAATATTACCCTGTCAGTATCATTTGTACGTCAGTCAGGTCTGTGGGGGTGTAAATAGTTCATTCCAGCATTATTAGTCAAGCATTCGCGTAATACTGCGTCCATTATTGTGCTCATCCTCTTGCGTGGTCAAATGACTTCTATCCCCTCTCTAGTTAGTAGTTGTAGAAATCAGCCACACAGATGTACAGAAGCCATCCGCCTTGCCCTTGTCAGTTGCATCACTACCTAAAAGTCTAAAAGCCTCATGAAGCTGTATTATAACAGTACTGCGTCTATCGCGGCCGAGTCTTATAGGCTGGGCTCTCCTCATGCCTGGTGGATCCTCCCATCCCCGCTCCACTGAAAATTGTTGCGATTCTGGACGTTCCCCAGAACGGAGTCACTCTTAGTCTTTCGCCCAACCACATCGGATTCCCCTCCCAGAAAAGCATGTTCTGCATCCATTCCATCTCGATAATTCTTGATCTGAGCATGTCGCTAGTCCATCAAGCTACTGTGGAGGTCGAATCCATGACTGGGAGTTGAGAGTCCATTCCTTGCTGTTATTGGTGTTCCGACTACCTTTCCCCTGTGACTGAGCGCGCAGTGTTACCGCTATGGTGACCATGCAGTCTCAGTCCGAGAAGCCTAAGAAGGCTCCGCGTAAGCATGTCACTACGGCTTGCGTCCCGTGTAGAGAAAGTAAAATCAGGGTCAGTTTTCCCTTTTCGATTCTATAGTCATACTGACTACTATCCAGTGCGACGGTACTACTCCACATTGTCGCAACTGCGAGAGAAAAGGGAAGGATTGCAGGTACCAGCATGGCGATGACAAGCGGAAGTAGGTGTCGTCTCGCTCCATCTTTCCAAGCATTTTGGCTGGTTTTCGTGATATGCACCTTGTGCTTCTCGTCACGGGCACCCCATGATAGAGACGAGTGACAAGCGAATTTCTCGATTTTGGCCCAGCCTGCGAAAGGCTCACTGCAGAGTTTTTTTTTGAAGAAGAAGAACCAACGGAAACTGACCGTCCTGAACCAGAGTCTCGCTTCGTGCTGCTACGGAGCTTTTTTCCGCCAGAATTGACCAGCTTTGTCAGTTCATCTATGACCATGGGCTGGAGCCACCCCCAATGAAGCCAGAAGATGAGGCGGGTATGAATCGGGTTCTGGATACACTTCAGATTCCTCGCGCAGTTGTGAAGAAGAGCAGTCCTGGGAAGGTTGATGCGCCAAATGTGCAGACCAGACCGGCGGCTCAGCAATCTCCCGAGCGAAACTCGCCTGATGTTCCATCTCTAGAGGGGCAGTCCGTAAAGGACGGTGCCCTTGAAGCGGCTCTCAGTCTCATTCCTTCGCCCCCTCAGATGTCATCGGCTGAGAGAAGCCAAGATCCAGTCAACTTCTTCGGCGTCAATCCGGGCCCGTCCACCAACTATCCTTCCACGCACTGGGGTTTTACCCTTCCAACGGCGGAGAGCCTAGGGTCCATCTACGCTAACTTGGACGGTGCGTCCAATTACCAGAACGAGGGCAGCATCAGCAGTCCCGACAGCTTGCCTTTACCTCCAGACTTTACTCAACAGCCGGGTGTCATGTTGGGCCAGGCCCAGAATGACACTGATGATGATTCGGAAAGTGGCGAAGAGGACGAAGCTGAAAACGATGTCATTGAACAGCTATCCCATCGCATTGGGACGTTGAAGATCGCTGGGGATGGCCACCTGCGGTTTTACGGAGCCACGTCGAATCTCAACCTGGTTGACGTCTCGGCGACCCAACAACGCCAGCGACCTGATGCTCGTACTGTCCGCCATGATGGACAGGACATTCTGAATCATCTGCGGGTCGGACAGCCTGTGGACCAGGCTCTCGAGGATCATCTTGTCGAGCTTTATTTTACCTGGCAGAATCCTAGCACCTATGTTGTGGACAAAGAGATGTTTATGACGGCGAGGTCGAGGTGGAGGAATGACCTCGACGACACGCCGTTTTATTCAGAAGTTCTGACAAATGCCATGTATGTTCTTGCCATCATTGCCATGCATCTCACTAACAAGATCATAGGTGTGCCGTCGGCAGTGCGTTCGAAGCACGGTACCACCCTACTTTTATCACGTTTCCCAAGTCGCTTTCCGAATTTTTCGCGGATCGAGCCAAGGCTCTTCTGGAAATCGAACTAGATTCTCCCTGTGTCGCCACAGTGCAGGCGCTGGTCATTTTGAGCTGTCATGAGGGGGCATCGAATCGTGATGCACGCGGTTGGCTCTATAGTGGTATGTTGGGAACCAAGAAAATGGATGGTCAGAGCTGATCATCTCCAGGAATGTCAATGCGGCTTGCATTTGACCTTGGATTACATCTCGACATGACTCCGTACGTGGAAAAAGGCGACATTAGCGCGTTCGAAGCCGATGTGCGTCGCATAGCGTTCTGGGGAAGCTATACCGCGGACCAGTAAGTTGCAAGCTGGTTGCTCTGCCGCCGCCATCTCTGACTGACCATGATCCCAGTTTCTGGGGCTTTTACCTAGGACGGCCTTTCCGCACTAATGCCGGAGACATTACTGTCCCCAAGCCCGCGTCGGACCTGGGAGCAGCAAAGGAGAGCATATGGTATCCGTATGGCCTAGATACGAAATCTGTGGTGCTACAGCATGGGTTGAGGAATCCAAATGAGCTGATCAGCAGACAATTCGCGGTGCTGTGGGAGATCATTCTACCCATCGGCCATATTCTGTAAGTCTTCCAGCAATGGTGATCAACTACCGCCACTGACATCTCTCTAGGTACGGTTGCTCCGATATTTCTCGACATGATCTCCAGAGGCTGTGCTATAACGTTACTGAGGATCTTTTCGCGTGGAAGGAAAACCTGCCTTCCAATTTGAAGATTGAGCTTGACGATGAGACTACGCCGAGATTGCCCCATCTCTTGATGTTGCAGTACGTCGCCCTATGTGGACAACCACGAAATGAAGCTAATCGTCCGCAGCATGCAATACCATCAGATAGTCATCTTCACTCACAGACCATGGGTCTCGAAAAACTATATCCAACCACGCAGCCCGCGCCAGGGTCCTGGCTACCACCATGCGCGCCGAATGTGCATCGAGTCATCGACAGCCATCGCGCGAATTCTCCACATATACGAAAAGCATTATACCTTCCGCCGGATGAACAATCAGGTTGTCGCGATCATCTTCAGCGCCGCTCTGATGCTTCTCTACGTGACCATCTCGAACACATTTTCATCCAGCAAGAACAGCAGCGAGAATACCAACAGCAACGCGGAGATGGTGGCGTACCTGAACCTCTGCTTCCGCGCTCTAGACGAACTGGGCCAGTCCTTCGAGAACGCCAAACGAACCCGCGACTTTCTCGTCAGCCTGCAACGCAGATGGCAGGCCCACCTGCGCCGGTCTGGGTCCGCCAAAAAGCGCCAAGTCAGCAAGTTACTCTCGCAGCAATCTGCCGGATCGGCACCCGGACCCTCCACCGAGTCCGATCCCTCGAGGAAGAAATCCCGAATATCCGCGCCGCGGAACCATAATCAATCCTCCTATCCTTTCCCGCCAGCACCTTCATCAAATATGCCTTCTACCCACAATCTCTCTCAGTCGCGGTCCCACTCCAACTCACAGTCTCAACAACCCCTGCACCAGCCCCTGAACCAATCCCAGTCCCAGCGTTTCGGCGCCTGCCAACCAGGCGACCTAGACTGGATCCGGGACTCGGACTTCCAACTCCTCGCCGAGAACCTGGGGGATGGTCGACTGGCGCAGATGGGGACGGGCAATCAGTTCGAAGGGGAGAATGTCTTGCCCAGTCTATCTGATATCGAACCGTGGTGGGACTCGCCCAATGGACATAATTTCGGGGGTTCTTCATTATAGATATATAACTTGGAATTATACGTAATGAATTTAATGGATATACTCTTTATTCAGGTACTGCTGTTGTTTCAGCGCGTAGTCTCAAGAAGATAATCCTGGATATTTACACAAGCTCGGTCTGTATATATCCCCACCACAAAGAGACATCCGGCAAAAATGGCTCTATATAAGATGCTGTTGCGCGGAGCATGAACTGCGGATCCGGTGATACTAATCAAACGATTGACCAATTGAAAATAGGCTTGTCTGACCTCTCAATCGGCCACTGTCAGCAGCTACTTCCTGCTGACGGGCTAGAACGAATGGTTCAGCATTCAGGTATCTACTCAGAATAATCACCACTCTTCAGGTCCAGCATAGTATACCAAGATACAGAGCGACATTCATCATTAGACAGAAGTACACTTCTAATAGCTCAATTATTCGCATCTGGATCTTTTGAAAGCAACGTCTCACCCAGCCATCTCCCCGCGCCTTCCTCGCCAGAGCCAGGAGGCACCTGCGCAAGCGTGACCCTGCTCTCTCCGTAACCCTTTTCCCGACCCCAGAAACACGCCCTGCGCATGACATCGACCATCTCATCCGCCTGCTGCGCCAGTACTGAGCGCCGCTGTGTCTTTCTAGAGTGTCGGGGGGCCTGCCGTTTCCCATCTCCGTCGGACGCAGGGACAGGGTCAGGCTGTTCGTTTTCGTTCTCGTGGGCGCGGACAAAGAGACGGACGTTCGGGAGGGCCATTTCGAGCCGTTTGATCCCTTGATTGTAGATGTGGTAGCGATGGGAGACGCTCGAACCATAGTCTAGACCGTACGGGGGCCACCGCGAGAGGGCTTTGCGGCGGCGGATGGCGCGGCCCTGGATGCCGAAGCTGGCATCGGCGGGGTCATTTCTGGACTTTGTGTCTGAGTCTGGATCGGAGGGTAGATCTGTCTCCGAGTCGTAGATGTCACCCTGCTGGTGGATTGCCTGGTCTTGCGTATCGGGATCCCAGACACCAATCGGCTGTCTGTCTGGCTTACTGGACACAAGCACAGGAACGGGATAGTCCGGTCCAGTCCGGTACTTCGGAAACGTCCTCGGGACATCCTTACCCGCCGACCGCAGAAACAAAACAGGCGAGGCAAAAGCATCAAAGTAGCGCTCCGGCGAGGCAAAGAATTTCTCGCGCGCTTCAAGAAGCGGGACGAGATCCTGTGCAGCGGGAACTCGGCTTCCTGCACCCCGCGTTCTCTTGCTGGCGGTATTTCCCTCGTGAGCTGGTTGCTCTTCCATAAGACAGTGTTCGTCGAGCCCGGGCCAATCGCAGATAGGTTCTAGGGCCGTGACTGCGTGAACAGATTGCGCTTCGGTGAGGGCTAGCATGAGCGCTAACGAGCCCCCGATGCGTGTGCCGATGACGCCTAGGCGCGCGGGTTGGAGGTTCTGCTGGACCCAATCGAACCCGGCCAGGGTATCGTGGACGGGTGTAGGGTACCGATAGAAGACTTGCTTCTTGACCGCAGAGACGCCTTTCTTCTTTGTCTTCAGATAGGGCCGACTCCGATGCGAGGTCTGTCGACGGGGTTGTCCCTAGACGGTAATTGATCGTTACGACCGTCGAGGAGGTGACAGACGCCAGCGTTTCTGAATAAGGACCACCCGAACTTTCACCATGTTCTGCCTCTCGCTGAAAGAACGGGCCCGGAGGTAGTCGAATGATCACATTTGGTTTGCCACCCGCAGGCGCTATAGAGGGATAGGTTACACTGTCATAAATATTCATGTCAAAATGAGCTTTTATGAAGCTTTCTAGTGAGGTACGCTTACTTCAGGGATACATAACCATTGTTTCCAACTGGAACTTGGAACGACTGATTGCGGTAGGTCGGTTGCGCAGACCGCGAAGTTGAGAAGTAGCGGAGGTTTGCTCGAACGTATAAACAGGATGCCGAATGGAGACAGGAGAATTTGACTGCTATGAACCTGTCAAGAAAGTCAATTGCAAGCCGGCGCATTGCGCCATGTTGTTTCTGCGAAGGAAAGAGAGATGCGGGTGGGTGGGAAATAGTGCCAGTGTCGATTGTTGACATGTGAGAAGTCTTGGCACGTTTGTCCTATATCAGATCGGGCATACGGGGTAAATATATATGTATAGTTTCAACAAGTTCCCATTTCTAGGCTTCGTTATATTCATTACTCAAAGAGTTTGGCGTTAGGAATCACTTGCTACGCATTATCAAAGATACGCTTGTACAAGGATAAATGAAGCAGGAAATGAGGGTTATACAATCTAATAACAGCTACAATAAGAATGAATGCAGCGATACCGCAACTTTTGAACCCAGGTCTTCAACTTCAATGATTGTGGAGCATCCGACTGAACTTGCCCTTTGGTAGAGTCGCGCTGGCGGCCGGATCGTCCATGTCAAGAGCTGCTTCGACGTCGTCCTCAGGCACCGGGCGAACAACCGCGAGAGACAGCTGCTGATCTTTCGAATACACCCGCAATCCCACCACGCAGACTGCATTCCATGGATCGATGCTAGCTCCAGGGCAGCAAGTAGATGCGGCAGGCGGGGCCTTTGTCTCCTCATGCTCTTCAGGGGGCATGTCGAGGTCCGAGTCAAACTCGAAACCCTCCAGCAGCTCTTGTTCGCTGTAGTATATCGATTGGGTCATGGAGACGGTGGTATCCAGACTCGAGCGGAGGGTCTCTCTGCTTCGTTGCCTCACGTGGTTCGAATGGTGGTCCTCCGGGAGATTGATCGTGGGGACGCTACTGTTGGGCACAGGCATCGTATCGAAACCATTGGTAGAGGCGCCTGCCAAATCTGCGGGAGATTGCACAGGACCATCGGGAAAGATCTGCTCAATGGCCCGCTTGTCAGGCTGCTTTTGGTTGAGGCTGCCGTTGCTCATTGCGACACGTCTCTCTGCGGCCCGCTCTTTCCGTGCAGCCATCTTGCGTCCGCGAATCCACTCCTTTTGAAGCCTCCTCTTGGTTTCTTCGCGCAGCTTTCGTCTCTCAAGTTTCCTGCGACGCAGCTCACGTTCCTCCCGTGCTTGCTTCTCCTGCTCGGTCTCTACGACCAGACCCTTGGCGTGCGCGAGATCATACGAGAGGCCAATCTGAACGAGCTTCTCCCGCTTGATTGGTGCCAGGCGGCTGACGACCTCTTCTGCGGACTCCACGTGGTCTCTTCTGTAGGCAGTGACTTTCACGAGCACATTATATCGACCAGGGTCGAGATTGACTTCGGCGCTCACTGATCGGTTGATAAGGTAGCTGCTATGGCTGCGGACGATGTATTCTTCTTCTCGATCCTTCTGCACTCTGAATTTCAGCTCAAAGTCATATTCACCGTCCAGGCCCCTGAAATACCGCGTATCCAGCTGTTCACTGTCAGCAGGTGTAAGCGTCTCTAAATGGAAGGAGAGTCACCTGAGAGAGGACGATGACGACAGGACCGGCAGTTGTCACATCCATCCTGAATCTCGTGCTGTGATAGTCCGCTGACCATGGCACATTGAGAGTGGTCCATTGCTGGGTGACTGTCCACTCAGGCCCGAAGAGACGGGTGCGATCAAGATGTTGATACTTTTTGAGGAGATCCTCGTAGGAAATCCAAAAGAACTAGTCCCCTTGTCAGCTGACAGCTCCAACAACCCAGGGTCGGAGATGCCACGTACACCATCATTTCCGAACTTGTGATCCAATTTCTGCATCCACTCTGGTGTCCATTGCTCTGACCCGTCACTCCATGCACCATTCCATTCTTTCTTACCCCACGGGTTCCTATCCGGGTAAGCATATGCGCAGGGATGTTGAGAATGGTCTCACCTCAATCGCAGCAGTCGACGACCATCGACCTCCTTCGCATCCATGATCGAGTATGAATGATTCTCGGAAATTCCCCTTCTATCTCTTGGCGGCCCTTGGTATTTAGGATCTAACCAGTTGGAGAACAGTCCAGTACCGCAGCCGAATAGGAATTCATCATTCACTTTCATAAGCTCTTCCTTCCAGAATCGATCCTTGTCCAGGATGTTGCTGGTCAGGATATCCGACGTGACACCTCCTGTCAGGTCCTCGAGAGCCTCCCTAAAGCGTGTCAGTGAGGGCACCAAATTGCTAGCGCAGTGAATCTCACCCTACAAACCCGCCCTCGATTGCGGAAAAATCACCATGTGCCTTGGCATATGCTTTCTCCAGCAAAGGCAGCCATGTCTCGTTTGGATCCACACACTGGGCAAAGTAGAGTGCCCGTGAGCCTGTCTGCCAGACTTTGCGATACTCCTCTTCGGTGTCGTTGCGGTTGATGTCGTCCCAAATGGGTCTCTCGTCAACGGACTCGTCGTAGTCGGCTGCACGGAGATACAGCTTGTCGTCCACAATGCACTTTTGCCATTCGCCATCTGTCGAACCATGTCAGAGTTTGCTCACTGCTCGAATGATGGCTTGGCTACCCACCTCTGTAGAAGATGAAGCCGTAAACTCCGACATTCTCATCCCGCGCAACGCAGATCTTTTCTATCAGACCCTGCTTGTTGCCCATCGTGCAGAGAGCAGCCATAAACCAACAGTCGCCATCGCGGCCTTGGCGCACATCCGACGCAGTTGGTCCATTGACGAAGAATTGCGGTTTCTCAAAAATTTCCTGACCAAAACGATTAGCGCCGTCTGCAACAGGCCAACTGCTGATCTGAGAAACACACTGTGACTCTTTTCACCCCCTTCGGGCGCATTTCATGATTCTTCTGATCGAGCGAATCCAAGCAATCCCTCCGTCCAGATTTGAGGTCAACCTCGATATCAAAGTGTGGATCGGTGTATTTCTGATTCACCCGCCTGCACTCTTTCACGATGCGCTCGACAGCCCGTTCGCACTCTTGTTTGGCTTGCTCGTAGGACTTCCCCGCATTCTGACCTTTGATCGTGCCCCTCCGTATACTCGCCGCTTTGGAGCGCGCATACGGATTGTCAGGCAGAACAGTGTAGACCTTACCGGGGTACTTGGTACTGAACTGATTCCAGAATTCCCTCATGATCTCCTGGGGGTTCTGCTGCACTCTTCTCGCTCGACTATCCGAGCGCGTTGAGAGAGGTGGGGTGTAATCCATGTCGATATAGTCTTCACCAGTATCCATGATGCTTGAATCGGCTTTGAAGGCCCAGACAATTGGCCAGACTCGTCAGTGATAGAAGGTGAGGACTCTTTTCCCAGTAAAATCTCGAGAAGAGCAGAATATGGCCCTGATAAAGATTTACAGAACCAACCTCCGGCTGTAAGCAGTCTAGTAGTGCTCAGCCGTGCTGAACCGCAACACCGTCACCACACGTCAAAAAAGCCAAAGCAGTAAGTCCTATGAACCGTTACACCCATCTCGTGTCCAGCTTGAGGCTGAGCCAAAGTGACGAACCATAACGGAATCAACGGTTTGGCCCCATGCATCAACGACACCAGGATAAGGGAAAGGGGCCAACCAACGAGTAAGGACTCTCGAGATGAAGAGCGGGGAATTGCAGGAAATGCAGCCCTGGGGCGCCAATGTCAGCATTCCGGCCATTCTGGATTCGCGTTTCACGCCATTCACACATGGCTGCCAAGTTGTAGTACGCTTATGCAGAGTCGAATGCGCTTGGGCTGAGTCGGGCCAATCATGGAAAAGGGTGGGATTATCCCAAGTCCATACCCGGCCCTTTTGTCTGTTGGTGGCCCCTGAGCTGAAAACATGCTTACAGATAGCAGCTGAAGCAACGGGAAATACAGCTTGAAATAGTCATTCCTTGCAATGATTGCAGTCTTTGTAATGGTAATATATTTGGCATAACTGTTAAATTGTGAGCAGGGGACGTTGCTTCACAGCATGCAGTCAGCGTCCAGAAGAAGTACGGTGTGCCTGAGGCTGTGCCTCTCCTGTGTCGTCCAGAAACCTGGAGCTGACAAGGCTGATCGAAGTTAATGGTCACAGTTAAGACGCCCGCGGCCCTGTTTCCTGGATCGGGAATCAACGTGGGCTAGATTCCTTCCCTGTATTCTGTTGCATTCTTAGCTTCTTTCTTTAGACATCTGCGTAACCTTGACCATGTTGGCTCCTGTCATCGTGGTAAGCACTACCAGTTACGGAAGCCAGCTGTGCAATTGGTGACCCGAGTCCTGAGAAACATTGCACACAATAAATGTAGGACTAGGAGATACAAGATATCGAAACAGGTATGTGGTATGTACGCTTCTGTGAAATGGAAAAATGGTCCATGAAATATCCAGTAACCTAACCTCTTTCCTGCCCGATCACACCACACTAACGCCGTAGAACAACAATTGCAGCCAATAAAAGAAAAAGATAAGATGAAAAGAAAGAAGAGGCAGCGCCCGACACATTGGTAACGAGTCACAGGCCAGCAGGGCGAGTAAGTCAGCGAGGTCAGCTGCGTTGCCAACGGCTTCCAGCGTTTTCGGCATCTGTCAGCCTCTCATGCATACATACATTACAGACGAACGAGTAGAAATCGTGACAAGTTTTCAGTTAGTGGTATCCATTTCTCCGACCGCGACCCGAGTAGTAAGCGGTACCGTGTGCAAAATATGGGTGCATACAGGCCTGTTTGGCGGAAATTCGACGGGCGGGATCGTACTCTAGTAGAGCCTCCAAAAGGTCAAGACCATCCTCCTCCAGGCCAGGGACCAGTGTATGGGGATCTTGACGCTTCCACTTGGGGAATGTTGGTTTGTAGTCAGGGAATGAGGTGACGCCAGGCCAGGTGTTTTCGTCGGGTGTACCGAGGAGCCTGTGGTGCGAGACGTGAATCAACAAATGACACTTAACACACCAATTGCCACAATGAATAAGCATACCTGAAGATCTTGAAAATCTCGTCAATCTCGGAATCGCCGGGGAACAATGGTTTGCGTGTGCACATTTCGGCGAAAATAGCACCACAGGACCACATATCGACGCCAGTAGAGTATTGACGACCACCAAGCAGGATTTCGGGAGATCGGTACCAGAGAGTCACGACCTGGAGCACTATATAAGTATTCTACGTTGAATGACAGTCAATATGGTCCAATGGTCTCACCTCGTGTGTGTAGGTTCTCAGAGGGACACCGAATGCTCTTGCCAGACCAAAGTCGGCCAATTTCAGATTGCCATCACGGTCAATGAGCAGATTTTGAGGCTTGAGATCACGATGCAGAATACGATGGCTGTGGCAATAACGAATTCCCTCCACCAATTGGGCCATGAACTTCTTGACCATAGCATCTCCGAGTCCCATGTTCTTGCTCAACGCAGAACCTTCGGGCAACGCCTTTCCGCGTCCACCCTCGCTGACAGGAAGAGCCTCCATGTACTTCTTAAGATCGAGGTCAAGAAATTCAAAAACAAGATAGAGTTTGTGGCCATCGGCATGGACAATGTTCAGGAGTCGTACAATATTCGGATCGCTCATCTCCTTGAGAAGGGAGATCTCACGGATGGCAGTGCTCGGAACACCTTCATCTTCCGCTTCAAGTCGGATCTTCTTCAGGGCAACAATACGGTTGGGATGGGTGAGTTCACGGGCCTTGTAGACGACACCGTAGGTTCCTAGCCATGGGAATAACGGGGTCAGCTCATTTATTTTCATGGTGGTGATTGGAGGAAAGGAACTAGCAATAGCATAGTAAACATGCAGGACCTAAGTCATTGTACATACCCTCTCCAATTTTCTCAATCTTCTGGTAATTCTCCATGGTGACAGTCTCCTTGCCAAGGATGCTCAATAATCAACTCTTGCTCGAAGGACGGGTGGAATCACGAGCGTACTACTGCCAAGTGGGGTCCAACAGTGTTAAATGCACAGTGTCCACTAGGTCGCTCGGACAAGGAGGAATAATGGGTTCCAATTGATGTTAGCAGCTGCGAGGAGGGGCGGATAGGGATGAATGGAAACTCCAAGCTAGGGGGAGAGCTGGCCGATTCCGCGTCAGACACCGCACAAGATCATCCAAGGGTCAAGGTCAAGATTGACCGAAATCGATGATTGACGTGCGTCCGAAGGGTTGTCGATCCGATCGTCGAGTCGAGTAATCTTGAATCGAACGAGGCTTCTTGTTATTTTCGTCCCTGCTTTTGATGGTGGGGAGACAAAGGCGGTCAGAGCAGAATAATCAATCGATGTACACAAACAAAACGATTCCCACGCGACAAAGGCGGTGAGCGCATTCCGTGATGGTTCTTTTTTTCTTCGTTTCTCTCTTTGTCTCTTGGATTAGAACAGCGACACTGACTGGATGACGGGGCATACCAGAGCTTAGACGATCAGTCATCCGAGCTGCGGACTGACCACTTAACTATTGTGGGACGAATCTGCTTTCAAAGTGATAAGCATCGCGAGATAGCCTTCATCCTTGGCGATCACTGAATTGACTCGGCTTCTATACTTCTAAAGCTTATCCCGCAGTTTGCACAATACCATGCCTCATATCAATGAGCTCAATGCTCATGAACGCCCTCCTGAGGCCATTCGGCAACGCTACAAGTCTCTTCAAAAGGCCACGCTTTCTGAGATCATTACTGATGGGACAATAATTGACCTAAAGGCTCTGAATCCCAACGATCTTCCAGACAATATATCTCTGTCGCATTGGGTATCGGGTCATGACCTTCGTCCGGTTTTCCAGCAGTTTGCCGGAGAACATGAGGACTCTCTCCCTGAAACTATACCTGTCTATACACACAAATCCGTATCTGGTTAGCATATCACAGCCTTGGTCTCCTTGAAAGCGAGCGCAACCAAGAAGCAGAGCAATCGACTCCTAACATGTGGTAGGTTTGCAAATGGTTCCTTCCATATTCCCTTCTGCCGTTCAAGTAGAGTTACTCTCTCGATTGTTCCATCGAGATCTGTCAAATCCGGAGCATCGGACCAACCTTCACCTGCATTACCACGTCACCTACCCTGGTCAAGCTGCAAGTCAAACCGACACGGCCGTGTTCCCACCTGAAGATGGCTCCACAGTACCACAGATCGTATCTTTCTTTGAGGACGACTCGTCCAGCGTCTTATCTCCCAAGGATCCGCAGGTCCATAAGCCGATTACAGTTCAGCAAATGCTCACCAAGAAGCTGCGCTGGGTGACCCTTGGCGGCCAATATGACTGGACTGCTAAAGAATATCCTTCGGGACCCCCGCCTGCATTCCCTGCTGATATTGCCAATCTGCTGCACGCAGCTTTTCCTCAAACAAAAGCAGAGGCGGCCATATTGAATGTTTATTCCCCTGGCGACACTCTGAGCCCTCATCGGGATGTCAGTGAGGAGTGCGATGTGGGCTTGATCAGCATCAGTTTTGGCTGCGATGGCCTCTTCCTGATCAGCCATGATGATGGGACTGACTGTGAGATCATCCGTCTTCGCTCAGGGGACGCAGTGTACATGGATGGCACCTCTCGCTTTGCATGGCACGCAGTACCGAAAATTGTCCCTGGAACTTGCCCGGATTGGTTGGCTGATTGGCCATGCTGTACCTCCGAGACACCTGATAAGACAGCATTTGGCAAGTGGAGGGGCTGGATGGCCGGCAAGCGAGTAAATTTGAACGTCCGACAAATGTCTGCCACTGAGTCTCATGGTTGACGGTCAGGGGTATCAAATTCCATGATATCCCTCTCGGGTTTATGTCTATAGGTTATATGCCAGTCAGAGATGAAAGTCATGTGCTCCAGTGAGGGCAGGCTGGTCATCTGTCGCAACTGGATAGACCATCCTGTTAGCCAGGAGAATCTACCGTCCAGTTTGACATATAAAAGGCTGCCATGTATCGACACCATCATCCCTTCCGGCTGGGCACAAATGATGATTTGTCAGCCACTCCAGCTCAGTGACTGGTGTACACTGTTAATGGGTCATGGGATTTGATATATATTCCTCCTTGTGAGCTTACCAGCCAAGTGAGATCTGGTACAGAAACCAGTGATTGGGGGATTATTGGAGCAGGCCCCTACGAAACGAGCAATACAGAAGCTCGAGATATTGAAAGAATAGATTGGACAGTTAATACTATGCCGAGGGTCAAGACTTCGTTCTTTGAACAGTATCTTCTTGATGTTCATAGTCCCGATACCCATTGCGGGAAAGGACAGAGGTTCGCCAGGCCTAGGTACTAGCCTACCTACTATCAACATTACTGAGTTTCCTCAATGCCGAATATGTACCGTAGGACTCCAACTACTCCATAGACTCACATCTGATGGTTCTCCAACTGTATATTTCTGTTGGAGAACAGAATACGAGTTGCATCTGAGACGTTAGTGGACAGATAACGCTGCCCCACGTTCCCCGCTGCGACTGAATATCGTATCGTACGAGATCCCGCATAATCATCGACGGCCTCGGTTATCTTCATGGTATCTCAGTCCAGGGCATGTCTCTCGACCTGCCTAATCGGAAAAGATTTGAAGTCCCTGGTACCTAAGATAAGGAAGATGACCCCGTTCTCCAACTGCTGCCTGCAGCCGATTTAAGGTGGACATTCCCTACCGGACGAGTCATCCCTTATACTACTCTCCATTCCTCAGTTATATCCCATACATTTTAGCAAACCAAGCTGTTAAGTCACAATGACCGTAGACTGGAGGTCCTTGGCAGATGCCAAACGCCAGTCCATCCTCGATGCAATTCCCGCCAAGTGGAGGATTCAGACTCCGATCCCATCACCATCCGAACTACGGGATGTTACTGGTTACATTGAGCAGTTCTTGACTGCTCGGGAGCTAGAGATTACCGGAAACGATGCCGTAGACATCGCGAAGCGGACGACGTCTGGTAACTGGACTGCCGTGGAGGTAACGGAAGCATTTTGCCATAGGGCCGCTCTGGCACACCAGCTTGTACGTCTGCTAGTAAATATATGTATGCCGTTGTTGACCGTGTCCAGGTGAACTGTCTGCATGAAGTATTCTTCGAGGCAGCTATTGAAGACGCCAAAAGGCTCGATGCCTATTTTGCAGAGCACAAGAAGCCTGTTGGGCCTCTTCACGGTCTCCCGGTCAGTCTTAAAGACCAGTTTCATGTGCGAGGCGTGGAGACAACGATGGGATACGTCGGCTGGATCGGTACGTTCCAGGGCAAAAAGGAAGATCCAAGAAGAGGCGTATCTGAAAGCGAGCTTGTCAGGGAGCTTCGCAACCTCGGAGCTGTGCTGTACTGCAAGACAAGTGTGCCTGCGACTCTGATGGCAGGAGAAACAGTCAACCACATCATCAAGTATACAACTAACCCGCAGAACCGACTCCTCTCGTGTGGAGGAAGCTCGGGTGGGGAAGGCGCGCTTATCGCCCTGAGAGGCTCTCCTGGAGGGTTCGGCACCGATATTGGCGGTAGCGTCCGTATTCCAGCTGTGTTTAATGGTCTCTATGGAATACGTCCCTCGTCCGGCAGGATACCTTACGAGGGTGCTGCAAACTCCATGGACGGCCAAAATACCATCCTATCTGTCATTGGCCCGCTTGCAACAACAGCGCGCTCTCTGAGACTGCTTTTCAAGGCTGTACTCAGCCAAGAGCCGTGGTTCCATGATCCCCTGGTGCTCGAGGTACCCTGGCGCGAAGATATTGAACGAGAGGTCGGGGCTCTGGTGAAGCAGTCAGCAGCTGATCCTTCCCAGCTTGCTTTTGCTGTTATGCACGACGACGGGATAACCAAGCCTCATCCTCCTATTGCACGGGCTATGAAGACCGTGGAAGAGACGCTGAAAAAGCTCGGACACAGAGTACGAGGATTATAGCAATGGTGTATGACCTATGTCAAGCTGACAAAGTTGAATTCAGGTCATTGAATGGAAGCCTCCATCTCACAGAATCGCAGTCGACTTGGCCGTATGTTTCGTCCCTTGCCCTCTTTTTTGGGCTCTAAGTATACTGACTCCAACAGGATCAAGCTTTCACCTCCGATGGTGGAGCAGATATCGAGTATCACTTTGGCCTATCTGGAGAAGAACCTGCTCCACAGATCATAGTCGCCACTAAACTCACCCACAAGACAGCTCTGGAAGTTGCAGCGTTGAATGTCAAGAAGCGAGAATACCAGAAGCTTTATATGGAATACTGGAATAGTACCGCTGAACTGACAGGCACCGGACGGCCGGTGGACGGACTCATCTGTCCGTGTGCACCACACGCGGCCGTGATTCCTCAGAAATATCGTCATGTTGGTTATACATCATTCGTGAATCTGCTGGACTACACGAGTGTCGTGTTCCCGGTGACTCGTGCAGACAAAACGATTGACGTCTCTCAACCACGAACTGACTTTTTGAGCGAGGCGGATAAGCTAACTTATGAAGATTGTGAGCTCATCATCTTGGTTCACCAGATTCTTTATTGCTAATCCTTCTCAGATGATGCTGACATCTACCACGGGGCGCCGGCCGGGCTTCAGATCGTCGGACGACGATTCCAGGAGGAGAAGATGCTGGCATTAGCTGAGTATATCGGTGAAAAGGTCCAAGAGGCATCACAATAGGTCTAGTTCCTAGTTTCTATTCTGATTGATGTGCGGTCAGTCGGTTGTTCTTATTGGTATGAGACGCGGTAGTAGCATCATAAATCGCAGCCATAACATCACGTATCCATTCGCTCTTGAGCCATTGTAGCAGTAGACTGAAAAAGCTTTTTAACATAAGAGATATCCTCATGTCCAATCTATTTGTCTCTTTGTATGTCAACCTCGGAGCAAAAAGACGCGGACTCGAAGTTCCCCACCGCAAAGCTTGGCGCTTGTCGATCGTCACGTTCACATTCTCGTTCACTTCTTCCTCTCTTGCTTCTTCTTTGTTTTTCCTCTTCCTCGTTCCAGCTCAGCCATCTTTTCTTTTTCTTCCATCACTTGCAGCTCTATTACGTCCCTCACTTGCAATCTCGGGCCCCGCTCTTCATTGTTCCAGCTGTGACGCACAAGCGCGGGTCTTCTCTTTCATGCATTGAGCTGCAGAGCTTCCCTCGGATGCGAGCTGGTCAACGCGTTTCTGGTGTCACCGCGACTCCACGTTTGCCAGCAACTTGAATCTTGTGAAACAATGGCGGAAACCACACCCTCTCGTCCGAACGACACCCCAGAAAACTCTCCTGGTGGAGGCGATGACAACCAGTCCCAATCGGCAGGCCAATCCAAGAATCCTGCTTCCGTCAAGGATCGAAAATGCCAGTACTGTCATCAGGCCTTCACGTCATCGTCACTCGGCCGACACCTGGACCAATTCCTCTTCAAGAAAAAGCCCGACGGGGTCCACGATGTTGAGGAGATTCGGCGCATTCGAAGCGGCATCACCAGACGGCAGGCCCGCACATCCTCCGGCAAACGGGATACTCCTGAACGGGCCATGGGCAAAGGCCCGTCGGAGCATTTTGCAGGCGGGGAACACGGCGCGAAGCCGCGTGAGGGTGCGATCAGGATGATGTTTAACACGCCTACGTGGCATGCGACCGGTGTCATCAATGATATTCCTAATCCGGGTCAAACGCCGGAGGGTTCGCGGTTCGCGGCCTCGCAGCCTCGAACGGGGGTGCTGCATCTTCCGGACTATGCGAGTAGGGGTGCCAACGCCAAGGATCCAGATACAATGAGGGCGTTGGAGTTGGCTCTGCGAGAGGTTCTGGATAATATCAAAGCTGCAACGTGCGTGCCCGTCATTACTCGGTCCTTGCGACTGAAGAATGCGCCGGAAAATCGAATAAGACCTTGCTAACAATAATGCGCCCAGTAGTTCCCGGATGCGACCTCGGCTTTCGCCGTTCGATTTCGATATTCAGTCGGAGACATTCCCCTCGCTCTGTCTTCACCTACTGCCCCCACCTCCCAGTCTCTTCTCTACCAATCCGTTCCCGTCACCGTCATCTTTCCCACTGAATCCCCCTGGGGTAGAACACCTTGATATTGTACGACAGGCGATTCGAGCGAAGATTGACCAGTGGCAATCCGATCAGCTGTCCGCGCAATCTGCGAACAACTGTCCCGGTCGGCCCGCGCTCGGCCTGGACGCTAACATGATCAGCCGCAGCGCACAGCAACATGAAGATATGAGCCTGAGGCATCTCGAGCTGGCATTCAAACACTGGGCCTCGCTGCCACCGGAGACGCGACTAGAGGCGTGGCATCTTGAGATCACCCGCGCGTTCGCTCGTGAGGTGGAGAAACGGAAAATATTGGACGAGCAGCTCGCTCGCGTCCAGCAGGAAGCCAACCAGCTGCGCGCACAGGTCGAGAAGCTGGGTTCCTGCCAATGGCCCCGCGAATTCGCCCTCTTCCCGCCGGACACCCTACCCCTCCCACCCGCTGTTGCGCGGGAGCTAGACGCCAAGGAAAGCCAGATCAGCCCCGGTTCGCCTCGGTGGGACTACGATAGCGTTGTTGCGAAGTGGAAGCGGGTCGTGATGCACGACAAGACCATGGGTCGCGTCGGCGTCGGGTATGGCAATCCTCCGCTCGATGATCGCAGCAGCGCGGACACCAAACCCCGCGCGACAGAGGAGCCGCCCGCCTCCGCTTCTGCATCTGCACCTCCGTCTGCACACCCCAGGTCGCGAGCCCTGCAGCCCGCTCCTGGCCCCGCGCTCGCCTCAAGCCCAGACCAGTCGTCCTCGCATACCGGGGGCGCCTCGGCCCCATCCAGCCAGAACACCTCGCCTTACCTCCGGAGTCCCCAAGCAGGTCCGCAAGCCAAGCGTCCCCGATTAATGAACGGTGCAGATGGCGGCCACACTTCGGCAGCGAATCCGTCGGCCACGGCGTCGAATACGTGGAATCCGCAGAGTCACCAGTCCCTTACGGTTTCGAACTTGGCTAGTCCGTCTGGACCGCCGCCTAGCTCTGGAGCGTAGTTGATCTTACCAGACCGGGTAGCCGCCGCCATCAGCCATGTAGGCCTCAGGAGATATATGCAATGGCGAATGCATGTTGGAACCCCCTATCTAACTGTACAAATACTGGAATGATATATACTCATTTTCAATTCTCGCAAGGAATTCTGCAATTATTGGATATCTAGATCATAATACATGAGAACCGAGAAAAGAGTTTATGGCTCTGGTAGTACTATCACTTTACACTCTTCTTCGTCTTCCGTGCACTAATCCACCGCTTTAGATCTCCCACGCCATGAAGATAAAGCCAGGAGAAGAAGTAGACTGCCGCGAAATTGAACATGGTGAACGCCCAGAAGATCCCCTGCTTTTGTCAGCTCGTCATTCGCGTGCAACAATAGTCGGAGGCACTTACGTAGGCACGCCACTTATGCGAGTAGAAGACGTTGAAACTCGCTGCCTGAATGGAAATATTAGTTCTGCTGTAAGACATGTACGAAGAGGGGAGGGGGAAGGGAGAACGTACAAATGCATCACCGATGGAATATGGACAATACGAGCATAGGCCACCGGCAGCGTCTTCGACGTACCCGCCAGCCTGTTTCGCAAAGGCGCCGGCGTAGCTCTGGCAGGTCTGACCAGGTGGGGGCGAGAACTGGGTCACCTCCCTGCTGACGCAGCGGACGGGGATGTTATGGGTGAGGACGCCGAGGAAGCCCTCGAGGAGGTAGTGGAAGGGGGTGAGCCAGTACATCCAGGACTGCCAGAAGTGGGGGAGGGCGACGTAGGGGACGACGACGCCGCAGAAGGCGACGACGAAGGTGAAGAAGCAGGGGACGAGAAGCGAGGCGAAGAGCTCGTTGGGGGAGAAGGCGGCGATGAACTGGCCGAAGCTGACGTAGTAGAGCTCGAAGACCATGAGCAGCATCCAGGTGTAGCCGGAGCTGAAGGAGTCGCGGGGGTACCATATGCCCCAGTACCTGGTTGTGTTAGTGGTGTGAGACGGCTAGAGCTTGGTTGAAGGTGGTGACTCGGGTGAGCTTACCAGCAGTTGAAGTAGATGGATCCTGCGACGACGGAGTAGGGCAGCTCGGGGAGGATGGCGCTGGTGACCATCGCGGTCCATGAATAGATCTTCGAGTTGGCCTCGCGTGATTCGTAGAGGTTCCGGAAGTGCAGGAACCTGGGCTGGAGCTGCTGGATCAGGGGCGGCGAGATGGTGAGAGTCATGAAGATCGAGAAGAGCCGCGATTGCATGTCGATGTAGCTATTTCCCAGATGCCAGAAGGTAAACGTGTTGAAGAGTCCGGTGAAGATATGAAGAAGGAATTTGCCCTGTTGCTGTTAGCTTCAACTCTCCGATGACGAAACTGCACACTCACGAGAGTATACTGTGGGGATCTCCAGTAGGCGATGAACGCCCGCTTGGTGACAGCCACGATCTGGGTCCAGATGGGCATGGCGTATGCCCGGTCGTCGTCTTTGTTCTGCCTGATTTCGCGATTGCGGCGGGAGCCGATGATTTTGTCAATCTCTTCGGCCAGTTGCTTGCATTGAGGAGACTGGGCCCAGACATCTCCCCAGTCCTTCCCCTTATAGTCCGGATTGCCGGCGCCGATGACCTCGAGCATATACTGGGAACTTTGTCAGTTTAGGCTTAAGCAGACGAGGCGCAAGACGTACTTCGGCAGGATTCGCATGAGGCGGACACTTCTTAGCACCGTTCGACTCGAAATACTCGATCAGAGTCTTCGAGTCCTGTCCCAGCTCTCCATTGTACACAACCCTACCTCCACTTTGCAACAGCAGGAGGTCATCAAACTCTTCGAATAGGACCGCGGATGGCTGGTGAATCGTGCACAGAATCGCTTGTCCAGCGTCCGCAAGCCGTCGAAGGAACCGGACAATGTTGAACGCGGCAAGCGAGTCGAGGCCACTTGTAGGTTCATCCAGAAAGAGTAGAAGTTCAGGCTTACTTGCCAGCTCTACTGCAATGGTAAGCCGCTTGCGCTGTTCTGGGTTCAGGCCCACCCCTCCAGAGCCCACAGTTGCACCGGCAATTGGGCGCATCTCAAGTAGGTCGATGATCTTCTCGCAATAGTCATACTTCTCCTGAATAGGAACTTCTTTGGGCTGCCGCAGAAGCGCAGAGAAACGGAGAGACTCCCGAACAGTTGCGGTGGGCTCATGGATATCCATCTGTTCAGCAAAGCCAGTTGCTCTTTGGAAACTTTTAGGAAGTGGCCTAAAGTTGTAAGTGACGTCCATGGATGCGAACCGTGGCAGTAAGACCTACTTTCCATCTACTAAGAAAGTGCCAGTGATGACGCCAAAATTGATCCGCTGTGCCAAAGTATTCAGTAGAGTTGTTTTCCTGTAATGGCCGGTGTTAGCTACTTGGTTTTAAAATGATGTCGGGCATGACTGACCCTGCTCCAGAAGCTCCCATCAAGGCAGTAAGGCGGCCGGGTTTAACATATCCGTGTACGTCCTGCAGAAGCTTCCTTTGCCCACCCTCATACGGGATAGTGTAGTTGACATCTTGCCAAGTGAAGATAGACGTGCTCTGAGCGATGTCTTTGACTTCACCCCCAGGCTCTCCGGATTGGGTCTTCTCGGAATCAGCATTGACAGCATTCTCTTTCTGTCCCGATTCTACATCCT